TAAGTAAATAAATAAATAAATAAATATCTATTCTTCTTGCTTGGTTACCGGTGGAACTGTTGTTATCCTACTGACCAATCAGAGTTCGTTGCTATGTTATTTTCAACAGCCAATGGCATTCCATAGAATTCAGGATTTCCCAGAGCCTCCGATTACCGTTATTAGGAGGCTATGGGTACGACAATGGGGAGCGCCTCTACTTTCCTCCTCTCTCCATTCCCCCTTGTCCCCCATCCCACAGCCCCCTCCCCGACGCCCACCCCTTTAGCCGCTATGAAGGCTGTTGGATGAAGATATCAAGAATAGGATTTGAAATTCGTTTCTCCTCTTGTTTCAGAACACGTACACTAATGCCGCCAAACTTCTAGAAGCAGCAAGGCAGCTCGCACAATCAGGAGAGTGCAACCCCGAAGAAATAAGAAAGAGAGTGGATTACTTCGAAAAACGTGTTCAGGAGTTTATTGGCAGGGTCAATAGACGGAAAGGGCTGTTGAAATTGGCTGTCAACTTCTATTCTAGGACCCAGAAGGTAGGTCCAATCAGAGGGCGACGTGAAGAAGATATGCCAATGATTTGAGTAACCAATGATTTATTAATCGGGTCCTTTTAGATAAGACCTTGCTCGCGATCACATTGCTAATAGTATTTTTACTTCACTAAGATGAAAATTCATTAGATCTGGTCGATGAGGTCATGATTCCTAAGGCTCTGCTGGGGCCACTCAATGYATGTAATACATGCATTCTGAAGGCGAGTTATCTTGAACGAATTTTTTCCAACAAAAATTCCCGCGTTCGACTTGTCAGTTTAGCCTGCGACATATCCATTCAGAAAACACTCGTCCCTTAAGATTTATCATGATTGATAGTTTTTGGCGTACCAGTAATTGTCAGTAAAAGTTCTGATACTAATTATTTTATTGAGGAACGATTGTTTTTTGTGTGTGATTCGTGGTCATAGGTTACCTGACAAGCTAACTTTAGAATACCTTTGAATTCATACGCAATCGCAGATAGTTCACTATTGTTATATACCATTATACTGTCTAAACGGCCTCTGTACCTATAGTTAAGATAATTTGTAGCTGATACATGTACATATAGTTTTGTGGAGTGATGCCGTATTGTGTATGGCTGTGTATCAGTCATGAACATCCTACGATGGAGTGATTTTGTAGGTGTTCACGCGTACATATAGTCGATTATGTTTACATATTTTTAGTAATTGTGTGGTCGTTTGCTCTACAGCTAACCGAACTGGTCGAGCAGCTGAAGGCACAATTAGAGCTTGAAGAAGTTTCCGATAATCCTGATAATATCGCGACTGTTCTAACAAATCTCAAACATCAAGGAGAAGCCACTCTAGACTCGATTCACACAGCAATCGACGAGGGAGAAACAATTGTTGAGGAACTTAAACTTGCTAGTGCCGATGGCGTGGACTCTAGCTCCTTACACCATGTCGAAAAAGTTATTAAAGAACTGGATAGGGTACGTCGTGCTATCGAACACTCATGGTCACGACGGAGACAACAGCTTGAATTATGGCTGCAGCTAAGAGAATTTGAACGGGCTGCTAAACAGGTAAACAGAAAGACAATTTTTYGTAGTTTGTTTTTATTACCCACATAGGTATTTCGTAATATAATTAGATTAGCTTAACAGTTCTGTGTTCCAYCGACTTCAATTTAAAGCCCTAGTTCTGCATTCTATAGTATTATAAGTTTTGTTATTATACTATGCCTCGTGCTTTGTTTATATTACATTGGTAATGTCAGAGAAAGTGTTAAAGAATTATTTGCCTAGTCCTTGAAACCCCTACCAGATTCTTTCAGAATGTTAAGAATTAAAATTCCACATGTTGCCGTACAAATCAGACCACATAGATGTGTCGTCAGCAATCGGTATAAATGTATCTCAGCATGAGCAATTATGTAATCTATTTGGYAGAACTTAGAGGTGTTTGTGGTTAAGACCTCAAACAAGACATTCATTGAACCATGAACCATCGTTTTTCCCCTTGCAGCTCTAAATAACACATAAACTTTTTTTATTCTCGTCCTTGTCACACGCTAACTTTTGATCTTGTTTTAYGCTCGGTAATAAGAGTTGTTTTTAATGCCGATTAAAAGAAAACATTTAAACATCACAGGAACAATTCGACAATCCCRAAACAATCAACCGTGTAGTCGTGATGTGAATCGGACATTATGATTTTAATGATATAACGATATTCATATGATGTATGGCGTAGGTTATCGTGTATTTCCTGTCATGCATAACATGTCAAGATACTGTTGTGGCGCTACAGTTTATACATTAGCTTTTTTTATCAAAACTTCTATAAATTATTAGTATTACTACTTCTTTCTTCAAATACATTTTTAGAGCTAGTCTTTTTGTTTCATTTTCGACTACTATATTGYCTCATTTGTATAAAAGAGAACAGCGTTACGTTACGTGTGTTAGGTTACTCCTAATCTTGATCTAGATTTGTTTGACGAAATCCTCAAGAAATAATAAATTTATTTCAGAAACTTTATATTTACACGGCAAAATAARCGAATTTCCTATGCAAATTCGTTTAAAAAATTCATTTAGGTCTGTAAATAACTGATCACTGAGAGAGAATTTTTTGGAGCATGATCTTCGATAGTCAGTTGACTCAGAGTTGACTTGGGCATGCATTCTTCTAAATTAGAGAGGAATACTATAAATGAACATAAGAATCAAAAAAGGTATGTTTAAATTAGTTTTTATTGAGAACAAACTAAAGATAATTATTTTTTGGCATGCAAGATATTAATTGTTCAGAWTTACATAGAAAAATCAGCAAACAACAACAAATCTGTCAGTCATCATCAAGAGACTATATTTAGAGATTGAGGGTATGTGGTGCAAATAGGAGGTTGGTCACCAATTTTTATGAAGGGGAAAAGGGGAGGACATTTATATTTATGCAATGATTATTCGACTGATGCATCAATTAAAATATTAAGAGGTAAAATACATCATTAATTTAAATAAACCCTCATTACTAATGGACCACAACAATAATTCTGCAGTCTCAAGATTGGAAACTAATTCAAAACACAATTTTAATGACGCCATAGTCAAAATTCTGCAGTATTTTTTTAGACGAAGCAAATATATAAAAAAACACACTTTATCAAAGTAGTTCATTTGTTATCTTCTCCATCATGGTTGTCATATTTAATGATTGCTATCATCATTATCAACATCACTAGAATGGGTTTCATTTATTTCACTGTTCTTCTGCATAGCGAGGTCGGAAATTAATTTTTCCGAATTTATTCCCGGAATAACCCGGTAAAACCTCGTTCCCAAGCACTATAACTTATCTATATTTCTACATCTTGTATTTCATAAGTGCTACATGGTCCACATATTCTCATCTTTGCATCATAATTACCGCGACCTAACATCTATTTCACTCCGGCCTGCTCTCAGTCTGACCTCTAGCTCAGCTGGTAGARCATCGGTAGTACAATTCCGAAGGGAAGGTCGTGGGTTCGTTCGCACAAAGAAAAGTTAAGCGACAGAACAGATAGTCTTAGGTTCTAATGAGCTCAGGGTCAAAAGTAGGAAGCAAAAGAGCAAAATAGTGAGCTCGTAGCAATGTTTTAAACTTTCAGTGGAATGCAGAAATGAATATTCGAAATAGTTCCATACAAAATGGAGGCTAACCCTGACCAACAGGAAATGTGAAAACAGAGTATTTTCATAGACATAAATGATTTTTCACGATGTTTAACTAACGTTGTCATATGAAAATACAAAATAACTAATAGGAAGTTATTATTTTTTAAGCAAAACAGGTGTAGTTATTTCACTTTTTTGAAGGTATAGACCTGACATTTTTGAAATTACCTTGTTAGTATATACTAACACAGTTATTCTAAACAATCTAGGGGGCTTTACAATCAAAATACAAATGAGRTGTATGCATTTTATTTTTGTGAAAAAATGGCTGATGCAATCCAGTAATGAGTTCTGCCAATTGGTTAATATCCAATTCTTGCTATATATATATATATAAAAAGGAACATTTTATAAACTAAAAACGGCTTTCATTTTGGCCATATAATATAATGTTTCAAGGTCCAATTTCAATTTTTTCCTGTAAATCCCCTAGTAGGGGTTCAAAATATGCAGGTTCCCTATGTTACTGGCTTTGCCCTGAATGGATCTAAAAGCAGCAAAGACGGAAAAAGAGGCGAATATCGTCATACTCGGCCTCGTTTTCTTTGCTGTTTATTCTTAAATGTTGGTTGGACTTGGTTTCTATCTATGTATATGAATTATTTTCGTATTAGTTTTTGGAAAACTACACAAATTGTTTTAAAAAACAACATTGAACTTCCTGCTGTGAATTTTAAAAAGCTCGAACCTTTCAACTCAAGGACACATAATGTATCTACTGTTTTTCCTGTTAGGGATTATTGGTTTTAAAGGATACTATTTCGATACTAATTCAGTTGTTTCTAATAAATTCCCCTTTGGGAACTGGTAATTATTTATCCCCTTTTTGGGGGGTGGGGGTATTTTTGATGGCTCCTTTCGATTATACACGTCTAACTCACTAGACCAGCAGGGAAACAAGCTATTCAATTTAGCTACAGTTAGTTTGATTCCTTTCCCCCTGAATATCATACTATTTTATATTTCCCAATGACTATGTTTTTTTAACTATTTGTTTTGCAGCTTAAAGATCGACTGGAGTCATGTGAGGAATTACTCGATAAAAACGTGGTTGCTATTGACTTRCCAAAAGCAAAGCAAGCCTTGGCACATCATGAAAACAGCATTAAGGACATTGAAAATGCGGCTCTAACGACCTTTTGTAGGGGAGAGGAACTTATTGATTACCTGAAGCAGTCTGAGATAGAGCTGCGAGTTAGAGACCCGTTAACAACTGAAAATATAGACGCTCAAACGCATATATATAATTTGTTAGAAGTCTTGCACCGGAAACGCAGGGATCTGCGAGACTCAGCAGAAGAAAAGAAAATCAAGTTAGAGCAGATTTTACTTCTCAGGCAATTGGAAAGTGATGCTAAACAGGTTAGTAAAGAGATGAAAAATCTCTCCTGTTAAAGAGYACCCGGCGTCATCAATCAAACGAAATCGAACGTTCGATTCCATTGAAACCAATTCACATTTTTTTAGCATTCGATTTCGTTCGATTGCCGAATGCAATCAAATCCAAGAATGTAATTGGGCTCGATTGAATTCGACTTCGGAATTATGTGATTAATCACGCCGAGAAGGTAGTACGATAGACAGATATGATAATTACGACAATTGTGTTACTGTCGGCATCAACGCTGATGACCTGAATGGCTCGATAGCCTGCGAGCCGGCGTAGAGGCCTCAATGAACCCTCAATAATTGGTGGTTGGGTTTCGGAGGAATCCCCTCCTTTCCAATCCTTCTCCGAATCCCAACCCTACGTTTATTGAGGGCCGCTATGCAGGCTAGCTCGATGCACATGTGGCTCTTTGSTCTTTGCTTTTGCTCTTTGCATGTTATGAGGTGCGCTCTTTACGACAGTCAATTAAACACAGTCAAATTATTATTTTAAGTGGGGAACTCGTGCAGGCCCCGGCAGTAATCACACTGGCTTAGTTGCACGAGTGACATAATAACAAATTAGATGTTGGAATTCTAATACGCATTAAAATTAATTATTTTGAAGCTTACTAGAAAAATTCAGTAGACAAGATTTCTTTCTTTTGTTTTAACTGACTGAGCTCGAATTAATTTAAAAAGATCGCACATAGTCTTTATTTATTTGAAAATAACAGCAAAATATCTGAGAACTCTTTGGAACTCCAACATAAAGTAGATTGGTCACGGTGTGCTGAAGGAGTTTATGCCGGTCACTGGACTTATCATGGGATTGTATTGGTGCATTTTTCTCGGTTAAATGATCTCTCGAGTGATCTGCCAATCCTCAASTGCTTTATAACTCCACACAGCACAGCAAGACAGTTTTTTATTTCTTTTATAAAATACAAATTACACGAATGACAAAACTGAAAGTGCGCGCGAGTGCTGTGTGCTCTCATAAAGCACGCGCTCCCAACCAATCAGTACGCGAGACTTAGAGCAGTTATTTTATAATTAGTCATAGGCCATGAGGGCGAGAGGGTTTATTGTTTTAGTCAACTTGGTCAAATATATAGATGCAAACAAGTTTTCAAGTGAATTCAAGTTAGGATATAACTTATAGCCTAGCAGCAGCTCATCCAAAAGGTCGGACAACTGACTCAAACACTGTAAAATGTTATGTTATTTTCACTCAATGACTTATATRATTTTCAGGTAATTGGCTGGGTTCGTAATGGAGAGGCCATGCTTAACGCTTCTACTGATCTGGGCAGCTCACTTGTAGAGGCAGAAGCGTTATTGAGAGAACATGAAGAGTTTCAACGAGCAATCGAGGTATGATTAGAATCAAACCACATTTTTAATGCATATTTAGGGGGGAAACAAGAGGAATAGCTGTGTTCTTTGTGTGTCTGTGAAAGACATTATTTCAGGTAGAACTCTCACCCAAGCTGACAAATATTGTTTCTTTTCAGAAAACTTGCCAAAGTGCTAACGAGGTTCGTCAACGTGCAGACAAATTGATTAAAGATGGCCATTTCGATCCTGAGGCTATCTGGAAATGTGCAGAAGGGATGACACAGAGATGGCAAACMTTAATGGAGAAAGCAGAGACGAGAAAAGCTATAACTACTGCTTCTTTTGACTTCTTTACTGCAGCAGAGCAGGTCAGTTTCTGTCATTTGTCAATATCGAAAAAAAAAAGTAAAAAAAAAAAAAAAAAGGGAAAAAAAAAAAAAAAAAAAAAAAATCGAATTTCAGTCATTGAGAAAAGGAGCAGAAGAAGAAAAAAAGAAATTATGACATAATAAATATTAGGGTTGATATTGTATTGCTAACCTTGTCACTAGGTTGGTTCGTTAATGGACAGACTCCTACGCGATTACAAACAAGAAGAAGGAGATCCCTGCAGCAAACTCATTGAAACGGAAACACTTAAACGACTTGAGGCCATGAAAGCCATCATTCAAAGCTATGACGAGGATCGGGAGTCTATAGTACATGGATTTGGTGAAGTCAAATACACTGCTGATAAATACATTAGTATGATCATATCTAACGTAGAGGTAGGTCTGACACAACACACTCGTTCAAGCGCCTGTTTTTTCGCCGGGGGGGGGGTAGTCCCCTATATTTACTATACGGGTATGTGCCGCCCCCCCCCGCCTTATAGGGTATGGATTTTCGGCTTTTGGGTCTGGGGCAGGTTATCAATTTTTGACATTTTGTCTGAGATAGGGTATCATTTTTGTCTAGGATAGGGCTACGATTTGGTCGTTTTAGTCTGGGATGGGTTTAACGATTTGGTCGTTTTTGTCTGGCGAATAGGCTACGCTTTCTGTCGGCACAAAGACAATAAAAACCCTAGTAAATATTGATTGCATTCTATTGAATAACCGTCTTTTGCATGTCAACAAAATGTAATATGACCGAGATGTAGTTAACACTACTGTTTGTTTGAAATATACATGTTGGGGTGTAGTCTGGGATAGGGTGTACAATTCTTAGTTTTAGTCTGGGGTAGGGTATGTAAAATCAAAATGTTAAGTCTGGGATAGGGTCAGGGTTTTGAGGTCCTGGCGACACACCCCTACCCAAGTTGGGGTGGTAGTACCTCCCCCCGGGTTTTTTCGCATGCTAAAYGGTGCATTATCTAAATGTATCTTATATATATGTCGGTTCAGGGCGTTGAGAATCAAGTAAAGGACGTAATGGATCAGCTTAAGCTAGAAGAACAATTGGTAATGGAACAATGGGGGGTGAGAAAGACCGTGGCTGAACATTGCGTACAATACTTAGAACTAGAACAGTCGGCTAACGAGGTGAGTACTGAAGGGTGATGCCTGGTAACGGCTGGTATAACTAAGTTATCCTTTTTTAGTTCCGCGCCGTTGTAATATATTAGTACATATGTGTCTATTAGATCTGGAGCAAGACGGATATAAGATGATGTTATGCCTAGTACCTTAAATGTTGTACTACTGCCTAAGGTCTATCTAATGTTACGAACTAAGAACTAGGAAGTAGAGACTGAGAATTGAGATTAAATTAAAACCATTTTCTCATAAACTTCACTCCTTTTTTCTCAATCTCTAGGCATTAGAATGGATTCATGAGAATGGCGAGTTCTATCTTTCATCGCACACTACAGAAGGCGAGAACGAGGCAGAGACGAGACGGTTGCTCAAAGAACACCATGAGTTTAAGGAAGCAGCCGAGGTACGAAAGTTGGTGTGTGCAAACCCTCATTCTTATGTTCATACTTATACTTCAAAAACATTTATCATTGCGTTAGCGTACGTTTTTAATTCTTAAGTCTAGGGTTATAATTTTGTATTATTTAAACATAAATTCCATTATCACTTTTTTGCATACGTTTAGTTCGCGAAATATATTCGCAAGCCGAATTACGGCACTGTCTTCTTTTTCAAAGGCGTACTGATTTTTTGTCACTAGGAGATTCGTGAAAAAGTACGACAAATGCTACAACAGGCCGAGTGTTTAATTACCAAGACTTGCTACCATGGAGACGGTATTAGACAATGGGCCACAGCTGTCGAGAAAAGATACAAGGACTTCTCTAGTCGTATGAATAAATACCGCGTAAGATTGGAGACTAAGCTTGGCTATCCCACCATCGACCAAGACGTAAGTCCTAAAAAAACTTTGAACGCTTAGCATTATAAAGAAAAATTGAAAAAAAACAAAACATATCAGGGTCGGTGTTTTTTGTTTGATGTTACTGCTATTTCATTTTACTTGTATCGATACAAAAAAGAAGTAAATCAGCTCACACGGGCACTGATTATTGTCGAACAACAACGACCAAGAACTGATTTCTGATCTGAGAGTAATACTTTGTTCCTTGACAAACTTTGGGACTTTTTTCTTAGCGTAAAATCCAAACATTTACTGATGCAAATAGATTTAGTTTCTAGTGCGCAGTGTATTCAGTATTTGACTCAACATCTGATGGCCTTGGGATCTGACAAAGGCCTTCTTGCTAGGGTTGCGTTGTTTTGTCTTGTTTTGACATTTGGCCTGTTGAACGAGTTCAGTGGTTGGTGCAAAAAGCTCTCAATGAAACCACCTCACCACAGGTGCAAATACATGACTAATTAATGAAATAAGTTTTTGTTGCCTGTGCGTTCCTTCATTTTACTGCTTGCTAATCCATCTGACTAAATCAGCTRCGAAGTTGTTCCTTTAAACTTGTTTATTAATTTTTGTCATTCTGGCAAAGGACCGGGATCGGCTAACGGGTAGTTAAGAGGGAATTTGTTCAGGGATAATGGCGTTTCAAGACTTTCAAATTATCAAAGAATCACAAGCGTGGTACTCATCTGATTCGGACGATGATGATGATCAAGGTTATGGCTCGCGTCTTTCTCGTTTTAGCTCATACAGTACTCTCTCCTTGTTTTCTTCCCTGCTTTTTAACCAGGATGACAATGAATGGCCAAGCCTGCAGTCGCTTCAGACTCAACCTCACGAGCAACAGGCGTTTGCTCTCAGAGAAACATCCAAAGATAGTGGAATCCATGAAATGACAGAAGAGAAACGGAGGTCTGCCAAGAGGAAAGAGTAAGTCAACACACACATTAGTAACATAGTAACTGATTACTTTGTTATAGAACTAATGTTATGAACAGTTTAATTTATATTTCAAGCAAAATAAGCTTTCCGTTCGAGTCACGAGTTGCGGATAATCTTTTCATTTAGAGTTTTTTGGCTATAAAAGTGCTTTTGACTGGTTTGCCCCGTTAAAGTGTAAACAACGTTTGTACGGAGAATAAGAAATACAAGTATAAAAGGACTTTTGATCCCAAATCCGAAAWTGCGGTTTACATTTAGCGAACATTGAATAACAAAAACACAATTAGACATCTAAATAAAAGAAAAAGCAACCAGAATATCTGTCTCGGGAATAGGAACTGACTGTGGACAGCAGAATATTTTTAGATAAAGTTTTGAATATTTATTTCCAGAAATTATTTTGACTGCTGGTGTTCAGTTGCTTTTTGTTTTCTTCACCGAACTATATTTTCTTTCTCAGTGTCTGTTTGGAATCACCAACTGAGGACGATTTTTGTTCCTGATTTCAGTTGTAAATGATAATAATCTCTATTATAAAACATGGTTAATTGTGTTCGTATGGAAACCGCAAACCTTTCGTACAGYTTGTGTGAAAATAATGAGCAATATCAAGCGGCTAAGAAATGTTCTAGGAAAAGTTGAATTCAGATTATTATAAAATGTTTGTCGCTTGAATAATGTCGTTAAAAAAGTCCTTGGTTTAATCAAAAATCTCAKATCAAAGAAAAATAGAAATTTCGAGTTTTTGATTGCTGAATTTCGAATTTTTTGCCGTTTGCTTTATTTTAGTTGTGTAAGGAGACTTATCAAAACACTATTACTAGCATTGTCAAAAGAAGAGCGCAACCTCTGTTTGGAATTTTCTCATTGGAAGGATAATACTTTAGTTTGTCGTAAATGTTCTTTTTGTTTGGGTATTTTGTTATTGTACTTTTTGATATTTTAATTGTTACATTTTGTAAAGACCGCGGGCCTCGCCGGCCGGCGTTTCTTGTGCGTCATTTGTGAAATCCAGGCTTGTATGATAATCAGGGTAAATATTTTTTCTAACTCACTTTGTTTGTTTGCAGATTTATTATGAACGAGTTACTTCAAACAGAAAGAATTTATGTTGCAGACCTCAAGTGTGTCATAGATGTATGTACATCGATTATAGCTGTTAAATATGTATTTTCTGGTCTTCGCATGTGGTTTTCTCTGAGTGATAAATGACGACTTTTCTTTTTTTCTTTTCCTTTTTTTTCCGTTTCTGTTGCTTCCTTTCGTTATCCGTATTTACAGTTTGGTTTGTTCAGGTACTTTTCTTTGSTTTCTAAGTGGTAATAATGAAATGGTAAACCTTGTCCTGATAGTATTAGATAGTGATAGTTTTCTCCGAAATGCTCATCTTTTTTAGTAATTATGTGYGGTTTTCGTAGATACAAAAACCAAGTCTATGTTGCATTAAGTTTAAATTCAAATTCTGTTTCTCACGAAACCCATGGGCGAGGCAWGACTGAAGTGCTCGAAATGATAGATGCGCCAAATTACCTAGAAAATATGGCCGCTGAAAAGTTTGCCATCTAGTAAACAGCATTAGTTCTACCGTAAAATAAAAGGCAAACTTTGAGCATTGATAGACTAAAAAGCATTTTTTCTTTCCTTCAAGAAAAGAGCTTGTCCTCTTTTTCATAGCTGATTTTGGGATTTTTCAAAGCCATAGGCAATTTTATACCAAGCAGGGCTTCAGCACTTGTAGATCAACATCCTTCGTTATCTGAGTTGTTATTAACAATGATAAGTTATTTTTGCATATCATACTGCCTTACAGAATTACCTGAGTGCAATGGAAACCAGTCCCGACGTACCCCAAGGACTCGTAGGCAAAGACAATGTGRTTTTTGGCAATATACAAGAAATCTTTAATTTCCACAACGAGTAAGTATGACGTCACAATCAAAACAAACTAACGCAGGGATCATGGTCGAAAGAAGAGAATTAAGCTTAAHTTTAKCCTAAATTTCTATCATTTTAGCCGATGTAAACAAACCGTGACGTTATTATGAAAGATTTATTCCGTCAGTGGTGGTTATTTTTTGGTCTTACATTAAAAAAGTARTCATTTGAAAAGTAAAACTGACAGTTACTAACAACAGGTTAAAATAGACACATTGAACTAAGGAATAAGGAACGTCTGCTCCTTTCATACTACCACACCATTTCATTTTTGTACAACCTTCAAAATTTTTACCATAGATATTCAGTATATATTCATGACAGATTAACAAATTTACAATACTGATTTCAAGGTTGGGACATACACACTTTACCACAGTACAATCAATATTCTAGACATCAAACCAGCAACCCAAGGTTTGAACTACACACAGTGTGAGATACAGCGTCACAGCAGTGCATATCATACACACTATACCACTACAATCAATATTCTTAGCATCGAACCAGCGACCCCAGGTTTGAAGTACGCAGAGTGTGAGATACAGCGTCACAGCA